GACCTTGGTGTTATAACACTGCGCTCTAACCAACTGATCTAACCAGCCAGCCCCGAAACCCTTAATTTATAGTCAGTTGGTTAGAAATACAGGTGGCTGAGACTTGTGATTGAAGTCTGAAGTCTGAAGTCTGAAGTGGTGGCATTCTTGTGGGACTGAGCTTTCTAACTTGTGGGATCAACTTTAACTGCAGATAGATAGTTTCAGAATTAAATTATTTGACACCCAGTTGGTATCCAGAGAATTGAGAATTGGTTGTTGGTGTTGGAAAACACCCAGAGTGACCTTATTTGGAAATAGGGTCTGTACAGATGTAATCAAGTTAAGATGAGGACATACCAAATTAGAGTGGGCCCTAAATCCAATATGATTGGTGTACTTATATAAGAAGAGGGAAATTTGGACACAGAGATACAGATACACAGGGAGGAACACCATGTAAACATGGAGGCAGAGACTGAAATGATTTGTCTATAAGCCAAGGAACACCAAGGATTGGTGGCAACCACAAGAAGCTAGGAGAGAGGCACAGAAAAAGATCCTTCCCCAGAGCCTTTGGAGAAAGCATGGCCCTGCCAGCATCTTAATTTTGGATTTCTAGTCTCCGTGATTGTGAAAAAATAAACTTCTGTTGTTTTAAGCCACATAGTTTACAACAATTTGTTACAGCAGTCCTACTAATACAGGTGACTGACTAGATTTGGAGAAAAGGTGGCCCTTAGGATTAATCAAAGGTTTGAAGCCTAAATGATTGGAAGAATGACTTCTACTGAAAGAAATGGAAAGTCCAGGAGGGAAACTGGTTGAAAGGAACAATTTTAATTCTTACTTTAGCAGTCCAATACAATCACAGGATAGTCAAATGAATGCCTTAGTGTTACAAACATTATGACACAAAGGATTAACAGAACAATTAAAAAATACGAACACAATAATCAAAACTGATTCCTCTTTTATCACCTTCTAGTTAAATCTAGTTAACTTTTTTCAATAATCATGTTCGATACCGTTTATCTGTGATAACTTTCTTCTCCTTTGGCTTCCATAACACCACAATACAGATTCCACCTCTATGACTGTACTCCACTGCACCTAGCTCCTCTTTCCAAATCAACTTAGTTCTTATTCTTCGTATTCTTCAATCATCTCCAAAATCTCAAGTTTCTAATTATAGCCCTCTAATTTGAACTACTCATCTTCATGCCTTACACCCATTATTTCTAGTTATCTATATAATACCTTCACTTAAGAGTCTAGGAGATGTCTATATGGATGCACTATCATCACTTCATATCTGATATGTGTTTAGTCAAATCTGTCTTCCTCTTTCTACTCCTCAACTGATACATGTTCTTCATTCCATTATAATAACTCCACTTATATCCTCTCACAGCTAAAATACTTCATATTTTCTCTTTCTTATTAACCACTATATGTCTAATTTTTTTTTTTCACTTCAGAATACCTCCGTAAGTCAACCTTCACCTTCATTCCTATATTCCAAGCCCCAATTCCAGACTTCTTATCTCACTTTAAATTTACCATAACAGCTTTCTAACCAGTCTCCCTGTCTTCAGGCTTTTTTCTGTCTGGCACAGTGGTTCTCAAACTTTAGTGTCTGTATAAATCACCTGAGTGTGAATAATAGTATTACTTAGGAATTTCTTGCATGTTATCTTATTTCTCCAACTAGATTATATGATCATCAAGGGTAAAGAGTAATCACAGCTTCTATTTTCCTTCCAGTGTATAGCATAATGCTAGGCCACAAAAAACATTTCATAAGATATTTTGCAACTTCAGTACTATGGTTCATCTCTTTTTTTAAAACATTCACAACAGAATCTGACCAAGAATCATGTCAGAAAGATAAACCTTAGAATGAAAATAACAAGTTGTCATTGCATGTGCCTCAAAAGTAAAAATAACTCACTGTACTCACTCCAAGAAACATCTCTTCACACACATACTTTAACAATGGGAGTGGAGAGGACAACACACAGAGAAGTCATCAGACACATAAAGCCATCCTAACTCAAGATCCCTGGTCAAGCTTTTCCAAACAAATCCACACAGCAAAATATCATTTACACCAAAGACTACCTAAAAACACTTACCAGAAATGACACATGCTTCGAGCTTAGGAGTTTGAAGCTCTAAATAATCACACTCAGATGGCAGTGAGCCATCTTATCCAGCCTGACAGGGGGGATAAAGTTGCTACTTTCTGGTTATAAGAACTTTTCACAAAAAAGTAACTACAGGGCCGGCCCGGTGGCGCACTGGAGAGTGCGCCGCTTGGGAGTGCGGCGGCACTCCCGCAGAGGGTTCGGATCCCATGTGGAGACTGGTTCCCGCTCACTGGCTGAGCGCGGTGCGGGCGCAACACCGAGGGTTGCAATCCCGTTGCCGGTCCCCGGTACGGGCGCGACACCGAGGGTTGCGATCCCATTACCAGTCAGTAAAAAAGACAAAAAGGGAAAAAAAAAAAAGTAACTACAAGATTATGATTTCTGCCCTAAGGTATATATTTTGTGACTTGTTTTAAGTCTTAACTGCATAAGAAAGTTATAATTTTTATCATTTAAATAAAGAAACTAAAAAGTTTGTTGCACTCATGAATTATATTTATGTAATCTTATAGCAAAAATTTTCATGCAGAAGCATTATCTTCAACTTGAATGGGAAAGGAGTATGAGTTAATTTACAGTGATTATTCTGACACAGGAAATAAGACTCATATGGACCATGGGTATAACGAAGAGAAAAGCATTAAAGTATTTGGAATCAAAGAAAGTGAGAAGTTAAAGAGTAATAATGCAGTGGAAAGGGCACTGGACTGAGAATGGAAAAATATAGATTTTAATCATGGCTTTGATTTTTATTAGTCAAGTGACCTTGGGTAACTACCATTTCAGTTTCCTAATTTGTAAAAGCTATCTGAATGCTAAGATCCCTTCCAGTCCTAAAATTATATATCCTTATGTATAATTTTTATAGTATTTCTATGTCACATATAATGTTTTTCCACTTTAATGTCCCACATGGTGGGAGAGCTCTAGGTCATAATTATTCACTGAAATGAGCTTAACAATTTCCTATGACTTAAACCATAATCTACAGATCACATTTTTTTTTAAGTGAAATGAATATTTACTATGTTTGCACCCATTATTTGGCAGGTATTTCAGCATGAAAAAAAATTCATTCTAGGCCACTATACCGATGAAACTTTGTAGGTTTCTTAATCTTCTCCCCTCTTTCTGTTATACCCATGATTAGCTGATAATCTCTCTCACCACTGGATGTCACTTTTGCTCCAAAAGAAGTCAACCCAAAATAACCTCAACAATTAGTATCTAATCACTAAGATACTCCTAAAACCTCAACATAAGAGTTTCTCTGTGAAAGATAAAATCAGCTTTTAGAATTTCTAGTGATTTCTTGCTGAAATTTAGCTTCAGATGCACAGTACAAGGAAGCATAAGTAGTATTCCTGAGATCATCACAAGTCATAAAAAATTTGCTGAAATTCCATCAGTACTCACACATTTTTCAATATTTATATGGACAGAAAGGAAGAAAAGTGACACATACAGGAAAAAAAAACAAACAAGTGTTTATATTTAGACATAAAACACTAGGATTCCCACATAAGAAAAGCTGTTTTTCTAATCTCAGTATTATACTACTTTTAGCATTATGGGAAGAGAAAAATAATATTCAGAAACCAAGAAAGTGGAGTTATGTCATGACTTTTAGACCACTCGTATTAGCATTCCAACTATCAGTCACATTTGGGAGTTACATCCAATAACACAAAAAGATGGTTAGAAACTGTGTCCTTGGTTTCCAAATTCAGAATACATGAATGATCTAGAGTTATGTTCTCTTATGAAAATGTGAAGAGTTAATCTTTCCAATAAACACAGAGATATTAAGATATCCAGAAGCATCTTCCTGTCATCTCAAATCTTCTCTCCACACTCCACAACGCATGCCATTACTAAGGGAATTTATCAAATGGAGACATATCGAATCATTTGTGGGACTTTATAGACACACACACACACATACAACCATGTCCTCCCCACACTCCAATCCTGTTGAAAAGAATGGCTGAGTCACTGACACAGTGAGTCACAGCTACTGATGGGACTTGCTATATTCCTTGGGTTTGCTGAGGTAAAAAAAAAAGTTGTAGGGCCGGCCCCGTGGCTCACTCGGGAGAGTGCGGTGCTGGGAGCGCAGCAGCGCTCCAGCCCCGGATTCGGATCCTATATAGGGATGGCCAGTGCGCTCACTGGCTGAGCGTGTTGCGGGGCGACACCAAGCCAAGGGTTGCGATCCCCTTACCAGTAACAAAAAAAAGAAAAAAAGAAAAAAAGAAACTTGTAAACCACTGACTTAGATGAATCATCTGGCTACATTATTTCCGTGATGTCCTTGACTGTTTCCAACAAAACAAAGTTTTCAGGTTCTGGAGAAAAGTATGCCTGCAAAGGTAAAACTTAAAAAGGATAAAAAGGCTGTTTCAGAAGCCAGGGGGAGTCCCAGTTCCTCCTGCTGGGGCAGAGATATCTGCTCCTATATTTCTTAGTTGGAAACAAAAAAAGCCTTTTAACAACAAAAGCGATATCACAGATATTAGTTAGGAATAGTTGAAACAGACCTAATCACACTATAATTTAAGTGCAGAATGAGTTAAATAACACTTGGATGGGCTAGCCTGGAAATTTTTTCTGAAAAACACCATCTCTATGGGAAAATGCATGTCAGCTCTCAATGCATGTCTGACTTGCACACAAAATTTAGAAATAAACTTGTTGGACAGTTTGGATTTTCCCAATTTATCTCTGCAAGGTTGACAGCAAAATGTCAAGTTTAAATATCAAATTAAATATATCACTAAAATCTCAGCTTCAATTATATATTTCATTCTTCTAAAATAGTTCATTATGATTTACTCTGTAGAAATCATTTCAATAAGAACCACTTGCCTTTTTCTGGGCAATTGCAGCTCGCTGTAGTTTCTCTTTAGCTTGATTATACTTTTCTTCTTTGTCTGTGATACGCTCATGAAGCTTATGCTTTTCTTCCAACCACTGTATCTGTCTCTCTTCTAGTGTCCTGTCAGAAGAACATACGCAAAATGTGGAAGTTAATATAAACTCTTAGGATTAAATAGATATTATTATAAGTATAGGCAAACTCACTTATTGCCTGACTACATTCTTTATTATGCAACTGCAGGCACTCTTGTATGGCCACATATTTGCTAATATTACCTCTACTGAGCACTTCTTATGAATCAGGCGCTGTGCTTAGAACAGTATATGTAACATTTTGTTTATTCTTCAGAAAAACCCTCTGAGTTAGGTACTTCTGTCACATCCTTTTTATAGATGAGGAAACTGAGGCTTTGAGTAGTTAACTAACTTGCTTAAGGACTCATATCTAGTTAATAGCAGGGCAAACACTTGATAACCAGATCTGAACTATGATAACCATCAAGCTATAAAAATTGGGCCTAATAAAGCTGGTTAAAAATCAAGCCTGGTATCAAGACTTGATGCAGTATGTTTTCTAGCTACAGTAAAATTCATATAAATGATAATTTAAAATAACATCATGAAAACTTATATTTTTAAAGCTATTCTGCATACTTTATGTGATTTTTAGTATCCTTACTATAGGCAGTACAAATGAGAATAATAAACCCTGAGAAGTTAGATTACTTGCCTAACACCATACAGATTTTAAATATTTTAGATAGGACTAAAATCATATTCTATTGACCCCTAGAGTCCAACAATTTTCTTCTATACAATCCTATGAATAATATTCAGAAACCAACAATGAATTATTTATATTTTCTAGCTACACTGTCATTAGAATTCTTAAGTTCATTTCAATCAAATGCTTGAGGATTCCAAGATGCAAATTTTTTTTTTTTTTTTTTTTTTTGTAAAATTAAAGAACAATACTTGGTAGGATGTGGTACTGAGAACACCAAGGATGCCAGCCAGCTGCCCAAAAAAGAGAAAAAAAAGAAAAAGAAAAGAAGTTGGATCTTCTGGAATGTCACAACACATTATGGACATATGTCCTGGTTACTTTCTTTCCTTGAAATTCAACCCCATAGATGAAACAATGGACAAGCCTTAAAATATGAAATAACAGAAAAACTGAAGGAAAAAAGTTTTATGTAGTAAGGTGGCCTTCAAAAGAACAAATCTGAAAAGAATAATGTTTTGTAGAGAAAAATAAAAATTTATAATACCAACACATTATAAAGACAAAGCAAATACAAAACAGTAGTGTTCTACCACATCTGAATAAATTTTTCCAGAGAATGGAACATCACCAAAATAACTTTTCCCCTACCAGTTCACTGTCTACTACTGTCTACTACTAACAAATTTCAAGACCAAAAAATATATAACCAAATAAATTAGCTTTTCAAAGGGAAAATTCAAGAGACTAATTCTAATTCTAGGAAGTAAGTTTTGCACACCAAAAAAACAAACAAATAAAAGCCACAAACACCCAAACCATTCTGTTTTCTGGCATTCAGAATAGTTTAGATTTTTGAAGTAAGAAATGTTTGGTTTACCCAATAAATAAAAGTTTTTCCTTGAGAGTTTTCAAAATACCGTACTCAGGCAGAATTTTAAAAGGGCTTCTTTCCTAAATGTCTATTTTTTTTTAATTGTGACATAATTGATTGTACATATTTGTGGAGTGCGGCATTAAATATCAGTATCTGTGTACAATATATGATGTTCAAATCAGGACAATTAGTATATTCAACATTCTATAATGTAAGCATTTTTGTGTAATCATTTTACCAATTTCTCTCTAAACCCCCCTACCACCCACCCTTTCCCCACCTCTGGTAACCTCAGTTCTGTTCTCTCCTTTTGAAAGTTTAATGTACTATTGTGATTGTTGTTATCTTTCTTTTTAAAAAAAAATTATTTATTTTTTAGCTTCTACTTATAAGTGGAGACATGCAGTATTTCTTTTTCTGTGCCTGGCTTAATTTCACTTAACAATTTTCTCTAAGTTCATCATGTTGCTGCGAATAGCAGAATTTCATTCTTTTTTCTATGGCAGAGTACTGTTCCATTGAGTAATGTGCCACATTTTCCTTATCAGTTGTCTTTTAGTGGACACTTAAATGTCTTTTTTAATGTTTTTTGTTTTGTTTTGTTTTGTTTTTTTACAATGCAAGAGTCCATAAAACTCATTCTATAGAAATAGAAAGTACATTACCTAAGACCACTGCACATTATCAAAGGGTACTTATAACTAGTTCCTAAAACATATTCAACATTGGAATCATCACTAAAATAACTATATATTACATAGCAGAAAGGAAAAATAATTGGTACATAAAAAAGAGCAAACTCTACTTTTCAAGTTCTAGTGGTGCTTTTTCAGCGTGGCTTCTTAAATCTCGGCATTCTTGTTTTAACCTCTCCACCATTTCCTTCAGCATTTGGTTTGAATTCAGCAACTCATTCTCTGACTGTGCAAGTGAGGTCACTTGGATCTGCAAACTATTGATTTGCTTAAAAGAGAGGAAAGAAGAGAGACATAAGACCACTAAACAAATGCAGTAAGGTATGACAGAAGCAGAGTATACTAAGCATCAGCCTCACAAACGGCCCCTACCCCTCAAGCTGGTGTGCCTTTGAGGATGCCCCTTAAATGAAATAACAAATAACAGCAACTAAGATAATTTTTTTATTATAACCAGTGACTATCAAGGACCGTATTCCTCAGTTATTGAGTCTTCTCTCTTCTTCCCAAAATATGCAGGCCTGAAGAGGTATTGGGAGTGGGGAGAAGGGTTAGCAGGAAGAGAGCAAGATGAGAAAAGAGAATCCTAGTAGTAGAGTGAGTCTCCTGTCACTCTAGCTTTCTCCTAACCTCCTAGGAAAGAACAGATTTTAAAAGCAGGTCAACTGGGAAAGCAGCTAAAGAAACCTATTTTCCCCCTCCCACATACTCTGAGATCTGCAACCTTCCAGGAGTTCTGCTCTCTGAGCAGTCAAGAATTGTTCATTGTAAATACAGGAAGGATCACTCTCACACTGTTTTTAAAAGGTTTCCAAGCATTCTATATGTCCAGTGTTGCACAGAAAAAAGAGGCTCCCAGAAATCTACCAAATGCTAGATATTCCTTGGCCTGTAGAGCCGTTTATCAAACTACATAATGCCACTCAAGAATTTTTCTCCACCCCAAATTACCTTTATCTGGGAGTACTTTTTATCATGAAAAGTAGGTAACTATCTAGTTACAGATTACCAGGCTAGAAAGATTCACAGTTTGTAAATTTGTAAATTATATCCAAATAATCTTCATTTGGGAAAGTTACATCTACTTCCCCCACAAGCCATTTTACCAATTAATAAATATTAAAAACCCTCATTTTTCTTTTACTTCTTTTTACCTCTGTTAGCCATTCTCAGAGAAACACTTCAGAGCAAAAAGAGTCAAGAGACAGGGATCAAAAGAACTCATTATGAGTTTCAAGAGTCAAAAGAAACAAGATTTTTGATACAATATATTAAATAAATGGGAAATAATCCCATTACTTCCTGATGGTAGGAAAGCTACATAAGAAGGACTTTGTATGTCCACAGAGCAATTGTTAGCAGAATAAAGTAAAATGGTATGTCTCAGATTTCTATTTTAGAATAAATTTCTCCACGTAGAACTACTCACTCTTTGTTTTTAACTGGAGTGGTTGCAAATATTAAATCTCTATTGTAGCTGCCTGAACAAGCAGCCTTCAAAGAGCTTAATAACTCTCCATATCTATAGGACTATAGAAAGCCCAATGACAACGATACCAGATAACTTCTCTCAGAGTATCAAACAGTCTGCCCTTCCAGTTAAGACACATGCAAAGCATACCAGCTAGCATGCAAACACACATCCAAAAAACAGAATCCATACTACTTCATATGAAAAAAAATTAAACAAACATTCTTCAATGTTTTGCTCAACCCTACAAAAATCTTTCCTGAACCCAAATAACTTAAAATATATATTTCCTTTCATAAATACATCCCTCAGATTATATAGACATAGAGCAAGAAATAACTCATGGAATAAACATAAAGTTACAAGTCAATCATACAAGTAACTTAAAGCCTAGATAATCTTTTTAATCAATTTTTAAAATTCAGAATATCAACATACTATACTTCCAACTGTACTTCAACAAAATTTGTCATGGGCCATAGCATATAAATATCTTAAGAAAAACAGCAGTTAGCAATAGAAACCTACTAAATTAAAGCACAGAGGTTTAAGCATTTCATCTTTATATATCGGCCTCATCATTACGGTGATTAGATTTTTAAAATACTCATCCGCGAAATTCCAAAAACTATTCAAAACATGGATTTAAAGTAGTATGTCAAAAAAATAAAAGCAAAATATTTGCTAAAATCATACCTGTTTCAGGTCAGAATTTTCATTTTTTTCTTTCTCTGCATTTTCAATATTCACAATTTGTTGTTGAAGTTTTAGCCTAAAAATCACAACCCAACAAAAGACATTTTTAAGAATCCATAGTTCATTTATTTCACTGAATGAGGCAATCATTCTACTGAGTGTCTGTTTGACACTATGAAGTATGCTATGCAAAGTGGGAGATACAACCATAAAGATTTAGACTACAGGCAGCTAGATTGTGTTCACATATAACCAAATGTAACACAAATTACTCCTTTTGCAAAAGGAAAATCTACAAACTATGGTCATAGAGAAGATGAGAAATCAAATCTCTCAAGGGGAAACAGACAAAACTACATGGAGTTTAAAACCTGACAGGTAAGATTTTGATAAATATAGGGAATAACCTCAACAAGTGGCCTGTGGTGGAAAAGTACAGAGTGTGTAGCTAAGACATCAGAAAGTAGTCCAGTTTAAGATAGGCCATCTCATATCAGTGCAGTATTTTACAATTTAAAAAATGCTTTCAGACATATCACTATTTCACTTTCACTCTACAACACTATAGATTTAATAGAAAACTATTTTAGGACTTCATACGTACTGTATTCCATATAAGATATCTTATGAGCTTTTCATCCCTGAGATGAATGAACACTTACACAATTTGCATCCTCTTCAAAGGAAATGATATACATCCTCTACGAGAGCCTTAAAATGCAGAACAGCTCTGGTGGCCAAATGACTAACTTCATGAGGAAGGTTTTATGCTAATTAGGTTTGGCAGAATAGGTCCCCTCAACCTCCCCTTTTTAAAATTCTTCACATATGACAAACATAATTCATTTGGTACTTATTTATAGGTTGGCATTATTAGCAAGTCTTATCTGCCCAATTAGAACATACTTATTGGGACCACAATATTTTCAACTGCCTAGGGCTGTGCTTTAAATACAGTAAGAATTCAGTAAATATTTGTTCATGGACTGAGTGAACCAACCCAAATCCTGGATTAGACATTTAAATGTGTAAGAAGATTAAACAATAAAACATGGAAGAAACCTGGGAAGACATGACCCATTGTTTCCTGAGATGTTTACATACAAATGCAAGAAACAAAGGATCTAAATGTTATTGAATTAATAAAGATTTCTTCCTACAAAATCATGAAGATAAAAATAGAGGAGAGAACACTGTGGGCACTAGCCCAGGTCCAGAGTTAGAAAACTTAGGCCCCAAGTAAATCCTGGCACAGGTAGAGAACTTGGATAAACAATTGACCCTTGAACAACATGGGCTTAAATTGCAGGGGTCCACTTACATATGGATTTTTTTCAATAAATACTATATAGTACTGTAAATGTATTTTCTTCTTTACAATTTTCTTAATAACACTTCCTTTTCTCTAGCTTACTTTATTGTAAGAATACAGTATATAATACATATAACACACAATATATGTGTTAATCAACTGTTTATGTTATCGGTAAAGCTTCTACTTAACAGTAGGCTGTTAGTAGTTAAGGTTTTGAGGAGTCAAAAGTTATAAGCAGATTTTCAACTGCGCAGGGGGTCAGCACCCCTAATCCCCATGTTGTTCAAGGGTCAACTGTACTTGGTAAATCAATAAGAAACAAGAACTGGTGAAGTAAGCATTCAGGCCCTGAATAAGTTAAATAGAAATGAAGAGAAACAATAGTGCCCTATGAATAACAGCTGAACCCAAAGAAACCAATGGTAAAGAGTATCTGAATATCACTAAAACATAAAAGGAATAAGAACACCATTATTGTAGATTACAGGATGTGATATACAAAACCTTCTTCAGTTCACTTTGCTGAAGCAGTGTTGTGTTAGAATCTGAAACTTATTAATTTTATTAATAAGCACAAGGAATTTTATTAATTTTTAGGAGAAAATTAGCCCATGATTTAAATCATTACATTTAGGATTCTAAAGGATAATGGAATTTAACATAAATAAAATTAACTTTAATAGACATTATCAGGGTTTAGGAATAAGACCAATAGTCTTAAATCCTAATAACAGAAGAGTTCAAAAAAAAGTAGATATTGTTTCAAAAGAAAGTGCTACAGATTTAGGAATAAAGTATAGTATCTATTTCAACGAGGTTTTAAATACTTAAGATGTGTCACAAGGCAAAAGAAAATAAGCCTTATAATGGTAGTACAAAATATAGAAGTGCAATTAATTTTCACTAGGGAATCTGTAAAAGAGATGCAATTTGAACTGGTGGCTGGTTAGCTCAGTTGGTTAGAGCACAGTCTTACACCACCAGTCATGGGTTCAGATCCCTATACCAGCCTGCCGCCAAAAAAAAAAAAAAAAAGGTCATACTTGAACTGGACCTTGAAGGCAAAATAGGAGTCTGAGATAGAGAAGTTAAAGATATAGGTGAAGAAGAGTGTAAATGATGAAGAAAGACTTTATAGGAAACAAGAGATGGGATTAAGAACACTATTCACTTTGGAAGTAAAGGGAGAAAGAATAGTTTCACTAAAATTGAAAGAAATGAGAGAATAGAAAGAGATAAAGATATAGAAGTTCTAAGATAGCAAGAAGCTGAAAGAATTCATATCCAATAGCCTTTGCTCATGTACAAGTGCGAACACAGTTGAGCAGTGCAAGAATATTTTCTGAGCTGAAGAAGTGACAAGGGAGCCAAGTGAATAGTCTGGAAGAAAAAGAGAAGTATGAGGACTACCAGTTTCACTATCCTCAGTGAGAATGGAGTGGATAACAGAAAGAAAAGATATTTATGTCTTTGAAGTGAATGGTTCTAAGAGATGACAAGGTCCAAGATGTGACTAGATGTATCAGATACTAAAGTAGAAGAAAGGTAAAGAATGCCAGAGTGAAGATAAAATAAACTATAAGGCTAAGGGGTTGAAATGTTGAGCCCCATTCTAAGTGTTGTGGAAACATCAGAAAATAACAAAGACAGAATCCCTACCTTTATTTATTTATTTATTTTTTTGTCTTTTGTCTTTTTCCATGTCCGGCAACGGATCGCAACCCTCAGTGTTGCCCCCATACCGGACCGGGGACCGGCAACGGGATCGCAACCCTCGGTGTTGCTCCCGCGCCTCGCTCAGCCAGTGAGCGGGAACCGGTCTGTATGTGGGATCCGAACCCTCGGGCGGGAGCGCCACCGCGCTTCCCAAGCGGCGCACTTATCCAGTGCGCCACCGGGCCGGCCCCAGAATCCCTACCTTTAAAGAGTTTATAGCCCAACAGTGCTCAGTGCTGTCTGATACGAGCTTTCCTTGATGATGGAAATATTCTAAAATCTGCACCTTCCAATATGATAGCCATTAGCTACATGTTACTACTGCACATTTGAAAGGTGGCTAGAATAACTGAGAAACTGAATTTTTAGTTTTTAAAAATTTTAATTAATTTAAGTTTATATTTAAATACTTATATGTGACTAGTAATACCATATAGAATGGTGAAGGCTCTGGTACAACCTCTTGGCTTCATTTGATGTTAGCTTCCACTATCAGGGGAAAGCAACATATAGCATAAGGAAGAGAAGTTATATTTGTGATTTCTCTATTGTCACAGATTCCTAGAACAAGTCCCTTGAGAATGGCTGTGGCCTTCTTAAACCTACCTTCTGGAAGCAAGGTTCTTGCTTGTGAGCACTGGAAATTGACTCTGGCCATTATTAGTAAAAAGAGATTTCTTGGAAGGACATAAGTGACCACTGAATCAAAAGAGAACTAGCAAACCAGAACCAGGATACAATAACTGACAGGAAACATCGACAAAGACATGCCACAAGACTGCCTCGTCCTTCAAATCATGCTACATATACTTCCATCACTTAATTTGCAGTTCAAATTCTGGAAGAGAACTTGACCATCTGGCCAAGTATAAGTCTCCTGCTCCCTAGTAAGATGATACACAACAGATAATTCTTCTCAAGATGGGATATAAATTGAAATGAAGATACATTAAATGATGGTTGTTTTTTTAAAATCCACTTCAGACAGCAAAAAAATCCAAACTGATGAAATCAAAATGTTTATAAAAAACTGAGGAAAAAATTAGAAAGCCCCAAATGGAAAGTAGAGCTCTGGCTTTAAGCCATGCAAAAGATAAATTAAGGAGTATTCACTACAGGATATCTTAAGTGATCAAGTTCCCTTTCCCTTGGAGAGTTATTGCTACTATTTCCCCAAAACATCTCCCCCTCTACTTATGATATCAAACTGCACATCACCCACTACCTCTTCCCCCACCCACCCCACACAGAGAAACAGGCATATAACCTGGGCTGAGTTAGACAGCCCAATACCCCCTGGCCACAGTGATAGGACCAAGAATGGCCATGTGAACCAGACCCAAATTCTTCCCTAGATTTTTCTAACTTGAGTTGGCAGGTAAGAACTCTGACCTCTTTGGTCTTAACATATGGTCTTGGCCTCACAGAGAAAGCAGCGGGAAAGAAGCAGACACAGGAACTAAAAGGAAAAGAAATGAAGGAGAGAAAAGGAGGGAGGAAGCCACTCTTAATATGATCACATTTGAGTTCCTAGATCCGGGTGTCCATGAGACCAGCACAACCCCTGTCCTTTCCACAAATTATGTCACCCAATAAAGTCCCCATTATTGCTTCTATCTGTTGGGGCTGGGTTACTGTCATAACCAAAGGTGACTACATAATTTATTATATTTAAACTCCTGCAATTTTTACATACTTTTAATTTACAGGTAACTTTACAAAATTTACAAATTGAATAAATGTGCAGTGGGGCAGCCTTCTAAAATATAAAATTATTTTATAAAAATAATTTTAATACTTTTGGCACTATGATAGGCTAGTGGTGAAGAAACCATTTTAATGAAGACAAAAGACTGGTATATAATTAATCATTTAAAGCATCTGCCGAAGCAGTGACTAATATCTAGCAACAGATTAATATCTACTTATCACAGATATGTGTTCATAAATAAATGGATACTTCTGCTTTGCATGATTTATACTTTTCATTTTCTTAGCAACACCTTTCCTCCACAGATAGTCTCTAACCTGTCACAGAGTCTAAA